CAAAAATTTCCCTCCAAAATCTCCAAATCCCCCAAATTTCCACAAAAATCCCCCAAAATCCTCCCAAAAATCCCCACATTTCCCCAAATCCCCCCAAAATTTCCCCCAAAATCATCCAAATCTCCCCAAAATCCTCCAAATCTCCCCAAAATTCCCCAGATTTTCCCAAAATCCCCCAATTTTCCCCGTAAATCCCCCCAAAATCCCCAAATTTTCCCAAATTTCCCCCAAATCCTCCAAAATCTCCCAAATCCCCCCAAAATCCTCCAAATCTCCCCAAAATTCCCCAGATTTCACCGAAATCCCCCAATTTTCCCCTAAATCACCCCAAATCCCCAAATCTCCCAAAAATCCCCAAATTTCGCCAAATCCCCCCAAAATTTCTCCACAAAATCCTCCAAAATCTCCCAAATCCCCCCAAAATCCTCCAAATCCCCCCAAAATTCCCCAGATTTTCCCAAAATCCCCCAATTTTCCCCTAAATCCCCCCCAGATTCCCCAAATCTCCCCAAAATCCCCCAAATTTTCCCAAATTTCCCCAAATTTCCCCCAATTTCCCCCCTCACCATTTCGGGGCTTTTCGGCTTCACCTCGGGAGGTGCTGGGGGCGGGGCCTGGCGAAGCCACGCCCCCTTTCCCTTAGCCACGCCCCTTTCCTTGAAGCCACGCCCCCCTTCCCCAAGCCACGCCCCTCGGAGGGAAAATTGGGGCCAAAAATGGGAAATTTGGGGGCGGATTTTGGCGGGAATTTGGGCGATTTTTCGGAGATTTTTTTGGGCTTTCCGGGATTGGCGATTTTTGGGATTTTTGAGATTTTTTTGAGGGATTTTTTTGGGAATTTTTGGGGTTTTTTTGGGGTCATTTTTGGGATATTTTGGGGTTTCTTGGGGTTTTTGGCATTTTTAGCCAATTTTGGAGTTTTTTTGGGATCTCTTTTTGGATTTTTTGTGGTTTTTTAGATGTTTTGAGTATTTTGGGGGTCGTTGGGGTATTTTTGGGAACTTTTGGGATTTTTTTTTGGTTCCTTTTTGGGATATTTTGGGGTTTCTTGGAGCATTTTGGGGTTTTTTTGCATTTTTAGCCAATTTTGGAGTTTTTTCGGTCTCTTTTTGGATTTTTGAGGTTTTTTAGATTTTTTGGGGTATTTTTTTGTTTTTTGGGGGTGATTTGGGGCATTTTTGGGGTATTTTTGGGAACTTCTGGAGCATTTTGGGGGTACTTCGGAATTTCTTGGGGCATTTTGGGTTTTTTTTTGCATTTTTGGACAATTTTGGAGTTTTCTGGGTCTCTTCTTAGATTTTTTTTTAATTTTTCAGTTTTTTGGGGTTTTTTGGGGGGTCTTTGGGGGTATTTTTGGTAACTTTTGGGATTGTTTTGGTAACTTTTGGGATATTTGGGGGTTTCTTGTGGCATTTTGGGTTTTTTTGGCATTTTTAGCCAATTCTGGAGTTTTTCGGGTGTCTTTTTGGATTTTTTAGATTTTCAGGGTATTTTTTGGGTTTTTTGGGGGTCATTGGGGGTATTTTTGGGAACTTCTGGGGCATTTTTGGGGTTTTTTTTGGCATTTTTAGCCAATTTTGGAGTTTTTTTGGTATTTTTTGGATTTTTTGGCTTTTTTAGATTTTTTGGGTGTTTTTTGGGGGACGTTGGGGGCATTTTTAGGGCATTTTGGGTTTTTTGAGGGCATTTCTGGGGATTTTTTTTGTGGCATTTCTGGGGATTTTTTTTGCCACATTTTTGGATTTTTTGGGGCTTTTCGGGGACTCCCGGCGATTTTTTTTGGTCATTTTTGGGTTTTTTTCGGCAATTTTTGGGTTCGTTTCCCTCACTTTTGGGTTAAAAAGTGCTTTATTCACCGATGACGTCATCGCCGGCCAATCAGAACCGCCCGGCGGCGAGGGGGCGTGGCCGGCGGTGACGGGCACCGCCCCCGACCAATCAGCGCCGCGAGGGGGCGTGGCCGGTGTTGATTGGCAGCTCCCGCAGCCAATGGGAGCGCGGCCTCAGCTGGCGGCCACTGAGGCAGCCACAATGGCCGCCAGCACCAAGATGGCGGCCGAGGCGCAGGCGGCGAGGGCCAGGCGCTTCTGCGGACCAGTACGGACCAGTTTAGACCAGTATAAACCAGTATAAACCAGTAGAAACCAGTGTGAACCAGTTTGGACCAGTATAAACCAGTCTGGACCAGTATAAACCAGTATAAACCAGTTTGGACCAGTACAAACCAGTATGCAGCAATATAAACCAAACCAGTATAAACCAGTATGGACCAATATAAACCATTATAAACCAGTTTGGTCCAGTAAAACCAGTATAAACCAATTTGGGACAATATAAATCAATAAAAACCAGTAAAAACCAGTATGGACCAGAATACCCCAGTCCCTCCCAGTTCCCTCCCAGTCCCTCCCGGTTCCCTCCCAGTCCCTCCCAGTTCCCTCCCAGTCCCTCCCGGTTCCCTCCCAGTCCCTCCCGGTTCCCTCCCAGTTCCCTCCCAGTCCCTCCCAGTCCCTCCCAGTCCCTCCCA